GAGCCCCCCCGTTCTCCCCCCGGGCTGAGAGACAGAGCCCGCCTGTTCTCGGCTGCGCCAGTCTGCATGTCACATCTGCTCACCTCTCGCACCTCCTGGGCCTGTGCGGAACGAGTTTTGTTCTGTGCACCACGCTGGCCGCGCTGCCTCCCGTAACAAAAGTCATTCCGCACATGGGTGGGGGGCTGGGGCGAGGGATCCTAATGGGGCTCTGAGGCAGGCGGGGCTCCCCCCAGCTCCAGGAATTGTTTTCTCCTGGTGCCATTTACAATATTTGTCCCCAGGTCACTGTCATGCTTCTGGCTTGGCCGGTTTAAGGCAGGCTCCCCAGGATGTCCCAGCTGGCCGTGCTGCTCTGGGCCGTGAGCGCTGTCTCATGGGGTGAGTCCGGGCTGGGCCGTCCCCTCCGCTGGCTGCGGCAGGGCGGAAAATCTGGTGCCCCTGAGGGTGGGGGCAGCGCCGCGGTTCATCGTCTCCTACCCCGCCAGGGCTCTCCTGCCTGCACATCATCACCCCGGGAAAATGGGGCGGGCGTCCAGCCAACTGCTCGACGCCGCTCAAGGACGTGCAGACGGGCTACGTGGTCACCCTCCACACGGCCGGCCGCAGCTGCAGCACGCAGGCTGAATGCAACCAGGAGCTGCTGAACATCCAGCAGCACCACATGAACAGCAAGGGCTGGTGCAACTTGGCCTACAAGTAAGAGGCCAAAGACCCGTCGGTTTGGCCCCGTTCCCACGCATAGACGCGGGTGTCACGCGGTTACACGGGTGCTGCGGGGTCCGAGTCTACCACACGGCCGGCCGCAGCTGCAGCACGCAGGCTGAATGCAACCAGGAGCTGCTGAACATCCAGCAGCACCACATGAACAGCAAGGGCTGGTGCAACTTGGCCTACAAGTAAGAGGCCAAAGACCCGTCGGTTTGGCCCCGTTCCCACGCATAGACGCGGGTGTCACGCGGTTACACGGGTGCTGCGGGGTCCGAGTCTAAGGGCTTGTCTACACTGGGACATTTTGGCGACAAAACCGTGAAAGCACACACGCTGCAGTTGGGAAAAACACCCCACTTTGGGGCCCAAAACCCTCCAGCCTGGAAAGAAACTTTGGTCTTTTCCTCCCCCTTTATAGTTGCCAAAGAGCCAGGGTGGACTCGGCTGTTTTGTCGAGAGAACTGGCTTCTGCCTGTACCCCCAGGCCTGTCCTGCTGGGTCTGCTCAGTGTTGTGTGGTCTCTGCTGCCCTGCAGGCTGTGCCCCTCCCCTTTCACAGCTCCGGGAAGTGTCTGGCAGCGGAGGCTATGTCTAGACTGCAGGCTTCTTTCAGAAGAAGCTTTTTTTGGAAGAGATCTTCCGAAAAACCGTCTTCCAGACGAGAGTGTCCACACTGCAAAAGTGCATCGAAAAAGCAATGTGCTTTTTCAAAAGAGAGCGGCCACACTGAATGGACGCTCTCTCGCATGTAAGCTGTGATTGCTAAGGACGGAATGGCCACCAGGGCACCTGTGCTTTTTCCTCTTTCCTCTTCTTGCGAAAGAGCTCCCTCCTTCCCGTCCATACACACCCTTTTGCGAAAGAGCTCCCTCCTTCCCGTCCATACACACCCTTTTGCGAAAGAGCTCCCTCCTTCCCGTCCATACACACCCTTTTGCGAAAGAGCTCCCTCCTTCCCGTCCATACACACCCTTTTGCGAAAGAGCTCCCTCCTTCCCGTCCATACACACCCTTTTGCGAAAGAGCTCCCTCCTTCCCGTCCATACACACCCTTTTGCGAAAGAGCTCCCTCCTTCCCGTCCATACACACCCTTTTGCGAAAGAGCTCCCTCCTTCCCGTCCATACACACCCTTTTGCGAAAGAGCTCCCTCCTTCCCGTCCATACACACCCTTTTGCGAAAGAGCTCCCTCCTTCCCGTCCATACACACCCTTTTGCGAAAGAGCTCCCTCCTTCCCGTCCATACACACCCTTTTGCGAAAGAGCTCCCTCCTTCCCGTCCATACACACCCTTTTGCGAAAGAGCTCCCTCCTTCCCGTCCATACACACCCTTTTGCGAAAGAGCTCTTTCCCAGAAAGGCTTCTTCCTCGCAGAATGAGGGTTACCAACACGGGAAAACCCCCTCTGTTCTTTCATTTACTGTCAAAAGAACGCAATTGCAGTGTGGACGTTCCTCAACTTTTGTCGGAAAAACAGCCATGTTTCCGACAAAACTGTCGCGTAGACGTACCCTGAGTGAGCTGCTCCCTGTGGGGAACAAACAAAGAGCAAATCAGTGGGGTGCTCCCCCACAATGCTTTGCTCTCTCTGTCAGCAGGGTGCTAGCCACAGGGCCAGGAATGTCGACAGCGGGAGGCAGGAAAAGCAGTCTGACCGCTTTGCACTTTTGACGGCTTTTGCACGTTGTCGGCAGCCCTTTTGTGGCCAAACCTGCCCGGTGCAGACGGAGCCTGAGACTCGTCCGCCACTCTCTGGCATCCAGACCCTTCCCAGCAAGGCTGGAGACGCAGGCTGGGGTGTTCCCAGTCCGTCGGGGGGCTGACAGCGGCAGGGCAGCGGGTGGCCGTAGGCGGGTAGAATTCTCAGCGAAACGAAAGGCCAAGCCCAGATCTGTGGGCAGCCTCGAGATGGGAGCCTCAGGCTCCGTACGGTGGGCACAGTTCGCACCAGAAACGTTTCCTTTCCTGCCCCGCAGCTTCCTGATCGGAGAGGACGGGAATGTGTATGAGGGCAGAGGCTGGAATACCGAAGGCGCCCACACCTACGGGTACAATGATATCGCCCTGGGCATCGCCTTTATCCGCCCCCCTCCGGCAGAGAGCGAGGCCCCGCTGCACCCGGCGCTGTACAAACGCCACGTGCTCCTGCCCCGCTCATGGTCAGCCGCCAGCCTAAAGGGACAGGACGCCGCAGGGATGGGGGCGGCTTTCTTAAAGGGTCCCCTGGTCTCTAAGTAGCCGGTCCCTGCCGTTAGCCTTGTGCCTGTCCTGAGTTCCAGAGGCATTTCCCCCTGCATGACCTGTCCCCAGCTCCTTGGAGGCCTGACACCCCCGTCCCCAGCTCCTTGGAGGCCTGACACCCCGTCCCCAGCTCCTTGGAGGCCTGACACCCCGTCCCCAGCTCCTTGGAGGCCTGACACCCCGTCCCCAGCTCCTTGGAGGCCTGACACCCCGTCCCCAGCTCCTTGGAGGCCTGACACCCCGTCCCCAGCTCCTTGGAGGCCTGACACCCCGTCCCCAGCTCCTTGGAGGCCTGACACCCCGTCCCCAGCTCCTTGGAGGCCTGACACCCCCGTCCCCAGCTCCTTGGAGGCCTGACACCCCGTCCCCAGCTCCTTGGAGGCCTGACACCCCGTCCCCAGCTCCTTGGAGGCCTGACACCCCGTCCCCAGCTCCTTGGAGGCCTGACACCCCGTCCCCAGCTCCTTGGAGGCCTGACACCCCGTCCCCAGCTCCTTGGAGGCCTGACACCCCGTCCCCAGCTCCTTGGAGGCCTGACACCCCGTCCCCAGCTCCTTGGAGGCCTGACACCCCCGTCCCCAGCTCCTTGGAGGCCTGACACCCCGTCCCCAGCTCCTTGGAGGCCTGACACCCCGTCCCCAGCTCCTTGGAGGCCTGACACCCCGTCCCCAGCTCCTTGGAGGCCTGACACCCCGTCCCCAGCTCCTTGGAGGCCTGACACCCCGTCCCCAGCTCCTTGGAGGCCTGACACCCCGTCCCCAGCTCCTTGGAGGCCTGACACCCCGTCCCCAGCTCCTTGGAGGCCTGACACCCCGGGTGAAATGAACCACGGTCCCTCTTTCCCATCGTTCTCCTGAGTTCCTGCTGCATGTGAGATCGACTCAGGGGCCTGTCCCACCTCAGCGCCCAGGCAGGTTCTCTGAGCCGCGTCCCTTGCCCCGGTCTCTTTCAGGAAGGTCTCCCAACGCGGCGGCGTGGGTCGCACTGAAGCGTCTGCTGCACTTCGCGGTGGAGGCTGGCTACCTGTCCTCCAACTACCTCATCATGGCCCACGGGGACGTCAGCAACACCATTTCCCCTGGGCAGCCCATCCCCAACGTCCTCAAGACCTGGCCGCACTACAAGCACTGAGAGGCCCCCGCCGGGGCCCGGCA